GGGAGATACTGTTGGCTCTGGATATTGGCCCATCGATGGCTCTTGATATTGGTTCATGTTTTTTTGGCCGAAAGACAGAGTATGATATCCAGAAATACAAGACCTGTTGCGTGAAGGATCTGGCTACATTGACTCCCGTGTCTAATTTTTTTTGTGTCCGTATGTCCACGTTGTTTCTGAAATCCATAGGCTTATAGCCCCAAATTTCTGTGGTTTATCATCATTTTCTCCACTGAAATTGCAACTTTAGGGGTATCCCCATTTTCAGCCCCCTATAGTAATCTTATGTAACCTTGATCCCCCCTTGGGTGCTATGCTGCCCGGCTGGAACGGCTCACCCCAGCCTTCGACATCTTTCCATGGGCGCTGTGACTATGCAACCGCTGTTCCTGGTGATATGTGGTGATCACACTTTGCTTGAAAAAGGCCATCTCGGAGATTCCGAAAAAAGATGTAGAATTGTGATGAATGGCAGAAAGCAGTAATTTATCCTAAACAGAATATGAAAGTAGTTGCTAGCTTGTCTAGTTTTGCTTTCGCCACAGCTTGGATTTTTCAACAGGAAGATCTGGAAGTCTCACAGCATCCAGTTGCACATTGGTGTTCCGTTTGGGTCAAGCTCAATACTGTGATGTCAATCAAGGATATCAGAGTCAACGTTTACAACGGGTGATCTTGCAAAGGTCAAATTTCCCGCAGCTCTCATTCACTAGCAGCATCTAGCAGCTAGCAACTATTCAAATCATTTCAGATCCACTTTGCACGTAATTTGCTGTGGCCGTAGATCTCAACAACTCAATGTTCTGATTCTAAGATTCTTAGAACATCTTAGAACATCTTAGATAATCTTAGATCATCTTAGATCATCTTAGATCATCTTAGATCATCTTAGATCATCTTAGATCATCTTAGATCATCTTAGAACATCTTAGATCATCTTAGATCATCTTAGATCATCTTAGATCATCTTAGATCATCTTAGATCATCTTAGATCATCTTAGATCATCTTAGATCATCTTAGATCATCTTAGATCATCTTAGAACATCTTAGATCATCTTAGATCATCTTAGATCATCTTAGATCATCTTAGATCATCTTAGATCATCTTAGATCATCTTAGATCATCTTAGATCATCTTAGATCATCTTAGATCATCTTAGATCATCTTAGATCATCTTAGATCATCTTAGATCATCTTAGACCATCTTAGATCATCTTAGATCATCTTAGATCATCTTAGATCATCTTAGATCATCTTAGATCATCTTAGATCATCTTAGATCATCTTAGATCATCTTAGATCATCTTAGATCATCTTAGATCATCTTAGATCATCTTAGATCATCTTAGATCATCTTAGATCATCTTAGATCATCTTAGATCATCTTAGAACATCTTAGATCATCTTAGATCATCTTAGATCATCTTAGATCATCTTAGATCATCTTAGATCATCTTAGATCATCTTAGATCTTAGATCATCTTAGACCATCTTAGATCATCTTAGATCATCTTAGATCATCTTAGATCATCTTAGATCATCTTAGACCATCTTCATCTTAGATCATCTTAGATCATCTTAGATCATCTTAGATCATCTTAGATCATCTTAGATCATCTTAGATCATCTTAGATCATCTTAGATCATCTTAGATCATCTTAGATCATCTTAGATCATCTTAGATCATCTTAGATCATCTTAGATCATCTTAGATCATCTTAGATCATCTTAGATCATCTTAGATCATCTTAGATCATCTTAGATCATCTTAGATCATCTTAGATCATCTTAGATCATCTTAGATCATCTTAGATCATCTTAGATCATCTTAGATCATCTTAGATCATCTTAGATCATCTTAGATCATCTTAGATCATCTTAGATCATCTTAGATCATCTTAGATCATCTTAGATCCATCTTAGATCTCGGTCTGTGCCTCGGTCACCGTTGCGGCGCCATGGCGCTGCGTCGGATACGCCAGGTCTTCGATCCAAGCCTTCGGAGCGACTTGCTGAGTGCGCGGCGAGCCCCAGATGCGTCCAACGACCGGGACCGACCGGGACCATGGGACCATGGGACCATGGGACCCTGGCCTGACCCACTAAGTCCGCACGAAATCTGGGGAGTCCTCCAGGAGTTTTTTCAGTCCTCCACCCCTACTACTGTATCCCCTATCATATGTTTTATTATGTTTTATCCAATGAATAGCAGAATAGCAGATGAAGATTACCATTTGGGGGTGAAATGGCAGTTGACACATCTGTAAAAAACCGCAAGGTCCTGAGACAGAATGCAAGGAAACCAGCTTTTTGTCTCAGATTTCAAGTAGCCTTCGACAGATTCTAGGAGTATGTTACTTTCTTCCGCGATTTTTTATCCTTTCGAGACGCTCTAGATCAGTGCCTTCACTTGGATGCTTGCGTAAACGGCTTGGTCAGAGGTCTGCACTCGGTTTCATTGGAGATGTGGTCTGCCAAATTCTGATAGAGAAGCGACCGGCACCCAAGGACAGAATTGACTCGTGATGACTCGTGTTTTGTTGAGAGAAAGGCCCCATGAGCCTGTCATGGCTGATCTGACTCTGGCAGGAAATTGAGGATTTGAAGTGGCCTTTGCCTCAGTCTAATGTTGTGCATGAGGCTCCGACGCACGGAAGCCCTTGCTTCGTGTTTGAGGATTCATAATTGCAATATTTATCAATATTTTGCATGAAGATACCTTTCTAAAGTATAGCCTTTACAGACTTGCTTAATCTATCTCATGGTTGTTTAATGTTGTTTATCTTGTTCCACCCAGCTAAGCCAAAGTTCCGTGATGTTGCACCTTTGGCCAAGGGGGCATGAAGAGGGCAAGTTTGATGTTCGCCGGCTATGGGCGTTGACACTGTTTAGCAGTGAATCTCGACTCGGTTTCAGAGGTACGGGGTTGATGAACCAACAAAAGCGACCTCTGACCACAGGGTATAGACATAGCTGCGAAGCTGCCTTTTTGTTGTGATTTGTTCATTTCCATAGATGTATGTACATCCTTGTGCCAAGTGCCAGTACATTCCCCTACGCAGACCTCTAATTGCCAGCGTGGGGCTCAGTATGTCTGCTGCTAGGCCTACATTGGTGGCTTTCTTCATTTCCTCTATCAGTTCTATTCGCCTGCTGTATTTGCAATGTCAAAGTACATGCCGCTGGCCCTGAGACTGTGCCTTGACATTTCTTGCAGTATTTTACTTGTTTCGTTTTTCTAGCACTTGAAGAACATGTCTCACTACATTATCTACATTAGACTTATTTGGTGATGCTACTGGTGAAGAAGTTATCTCGGCTGAGTATGCCGCACGGGTGAAAGGGGGGGGGCTCATTTGTTCAGATCCCAGGCAGCTGCGTTGAGAGGATACCATGGCACATTGCTTTGCCTGTGCTTGTGTCAGTTGGATGCAAGAGGAAACATACCCAAGGAAGGGAAGACGCTGCTTACATTTGTTTACTGAGTTTACTATGTACATTTATCATTTATCTGCAGTTGTGTCGATGCAGGATTGGACTGTTACACTGTAGAGTCAATGGATTGTGATTGTAATGGATATCTACAGTAACTTTTTTTAAAGGTCCTAATTAGTGCAGGATAGTGGTCTTGATCTGAGTTGATCCGAAGCTGAAATCCCCTGGGCGTGAGGGACTCTGCTGTGGGTTGATGATTAGTTCCAGTATTATATATTGGGGACTGTCATAATCCATGAGAGTTTTGAATTGGGAATGCCATTCCTGATCAAGCAAGAAAAAAGGGATGAGAGTCTTGAACACTGAGCAGTGACCAGTTGACCCTTAGGGTAGCATCATTGATCACTGGCTCAAGTTTTGTGGATCTCATCAGTGAAGGCACCCCGGGGCTTTTGATAGTCACAAAGCTCATGGCGACAAATCTCCTTTTCGGATATTCCTGTTGCTTGATTGCTGGCATCGGTTTCGCAGTGAACTACCTGCCGGTCAAGAGCTGTGACGTTGGTGATGGAATCTTTTTCTCTGCTGCGATGTCAGTAGGAATCCTTCTCGTGGGCTTGCTCACAGGGATGTTCCTCACCTCAACACCAAATGTCGAAATCCCAGCCTTCGAGCCTTTAGCTGCAGCTGGTGGGGCCATGTGGATGCTGGGAAATTTGATGTGCCCATACATCATCCAGACCATCGGCCTCGGCCTTGGCCTCACAGTTTGGGATCTGAGCAATATGCTCATGGGATGGGTCACAGGCTACTTGGGGCTTTTTGGTCTTCCCAAAGAGCAGGATGTGAAGCAGCCATGGGCCAACTTTGTTGGCCTGGTGCTGGCATCTGTCTCGTTGATTTTCTTTTCCCTTGCATCTGCATTTGATGACTTCGAACCTGCACGAGAGGTCGAGATAAAGAACGTAAATTCGGAAGCCTCAACAGCGGCTTCTTCATGTGGAGATTTACCGGACATCGAAGATGGGCAGAACGTGCAGAAGCCGACACTGAAACATGGGGAGCGAGGGGATGCCGGTTCAGATTGCGCAAATCGCATGAAGGCAATGTTGGGCTTCTCAATGGCAATCCTAGCAGGCGTTTTGTTCGGCTCAACGTTCGATTTGCCAATGGATCTCAAGAATGGCATCTTTGGTCCAGACCACAGCCAGCACATCATGGACTATGTGTTGAGCCATTTCATCGGTATCTTTGCTGCAGCTTCGTTTGCCCTTACAGTCTACATCACGGTCAGGGGGAAGAAGAGCCAGCTGCCACGGCAGCTCATCGTTCCTTCTTTGGTCTCTGGTGTGATTTGGGGGATCGCGCAAGTGGCATGGTTCCAAGCAAACATTGAGGTGGGTTTCGCGATAGCGTTTCCGATCATCGGTAGCCTTCCAGGCATCATCGGGCTTTTCATTGGATGCTGCTGTCTAGGAGAAGTCAGGACTACACGGAGCCGCATATTTTCACTTGTCGGCCTGCTTCTGAGAGTACCAGGAGTCCTTCTTATCGCCCTTTCCTCAGTGTAGTTCAGATATTAGTTGAGAACCAGGACTGCTGCAATGTCGGTGGTAGATGGATGACTGGTGAAGTGACTAGGGTCATTTCCATCCACTCCGATAATCCTAATTAGACAGATTTGCTGTTGGTTTATTCTCCTTTAGTACTGCGAGCGTTAGGCAAGTTTCAATGCTTCTGCAACTCATGTAGACCAGATGGAGCTGTGGTTTTTTCCCTGCTTAAGTCTTGGTGAGATTCTGGAACGGAACCTCTGGTGTTGGTGTTCTAGTTCATCACCAAGCACCCTATATCTTCCCACGCCCTTGTCTCTTTTGCGCTCGAATGGTGCTCCTGCAATCCGATGGACCAGCATCAATCCATTATTTTCCATTATTTTCCATTGTACAGATATCGTTCCGAGTAGCCCTCAACTGGCAACTTTTTGTGGACCTTGCGGTTTGGGGTTGAAGTCAAAAAAATGATCATGGGTTTTAACCATCAAAAATGGGGATAGGCTGCCGGCTTGTATATTAAGTGAGAAATGGTGCTTGGCTGATGTTGGGGAGTTAAGCAGCAAACAAACGGGGGTTATGACCAACCATAATGAGGACAGAATGAAGATGTGATGGGATGGGATATATAAACCAGCATGCTCAGCAGCTTGGGACCCCCGTGACTTTCATATGATCCCTATTATTTTCGATATAAATATCATACTATGGCACTTATATATGGATGCATACAAATAAGTATATATAACATGTTGTATATAAGTTATAAGTTATAAGTATAAGATGTTGTAACCAACAATCATGCAATCACTAGCCGCCAGAAATAGTGGATACATAGCAAAAATAGGAACCTGAATCCAGTTAATGCCATCTTTGTTGCTGCAAACCAGCTTAAATCACCCATTTACACTGTAGAGTATTCTGGAATTGGTCGAAATTGGGGACCAGTAACGTTGGATAGTTTGATACTGTACAGAAAATGACACAGACACACACAGACACCTTTCCCACATTCCATTGGAAGTGTTTGGAGACCTTGTTAGGAAAGAGGGTCTCCCAGCGGTTGTCCTTGTGGGGCTGCCTTTTTCAGACCAGTTTTCAGTGAATTGCCTTGATGTTTCAGATGTTCAAAGCGCTTGCAATTTTGTGTCTAAAGCAACAGACTAGGACCAGACATGACCAGAATAGGTCCTAGGATGTCCTAGGTATCCTAGGTATCCCAGATTTGGAGCCCGACCCAGGCGAAGACCTTGGCACAAGATCCTCATCTCCGTTACAGTGCGGTGGGCGCCAGCGCTGGCGCTGCCATTGTGGGTGCAGGTGGTGCAGCAACAGGACTCACCACTGGGAGCCTTCTCGGAGCGGCAGTAGGCCGGAGGACCAGTAGATGTGCAGTGCCTGCGGTTTGGCCCCCCAGTTGGTTGATGATTCTATGATGTTATATGGGGTTAATTATACTATCCAATATATTGGGCCTTATCACAATCCACTGTGGAAAATCATATTAATTAACCAGTAGAAAGGGACGAAGGGTTTTGAACACTGCCCAGATGAGTCTTCAAATTTCAATGGATTTCCCTGGCACTTGTAGGTTGTTGGGTTGAACAGCATTTTGAATATATATATATAATATAAGAACTAGTAGGAATTGTTGAAGCCATACCCATAGATATTTGCAGCTCGATATTTGTTACATATCATATTACTTTATCAATTGTCAATTATCATTGTTCTGATATGTTCTGATAACCGGTTATTAATTAATACGATTATATATTATATTTTTCAAATATTGTGCAATCCCCAATATTTGGGGTAACAACCATGGTTTCAACCGTAGGTGTTCCCTTGAACCAACACAGTGAAACATAGTAAGTAATTCAGAAACATAATGATCCAACTCAAAAGACACATAACATTGCAGAAAGGTCAATAAATTATTAAATCTAAAATCACTCGAACTCGACACTTATTAACACCATAGTAATTCTATAGATCCTTCTATCTTTAATCATTCATAAAATCTATCTTTCTGGACTTACCCTAATTCCATTGACACCGCCTACACGGCGTCATTCCTGCAGTCTTCACCTTCGGCCTGTCGATCCCCTTCTGCGCTGCTGTGGGCGGCGGAGCAGGCCGCAAGCGACATCATGCTGTCGAGGTAAAATTGTTTTTTTCTTTTATATCAGATCTATTATTTTTATACATATTATTTGATATTATTTGTATATATATATAATCTATGTATATCTCTACTGTGTTGTGGAAGATGTTACAATCTTTTATTCCAGGGGTTCTTGCGGTAGCTGTATAGGCCAGTGTTTGATCGAGGTGCTCACTCTGGGCCGCGGCATTTTCCCTGTCAATTTCCACATCAAGTGGCTCTTGTGAAATCTCCAAGTGCATTTCGACTGTGCAGGCTCGCACAAAGTTTGCGTCGCGGTTCTGGGCTCGGGCATTTTTCCTGCAAATTTCCGTGTAAAGTGGCTCTTGTGAAACGTCCAAGTGCATTTCGACTGCGCAGGCTCGGTCCCCGGTCTTGGTCTGCGGCATTTTCCATGTAAATTCGCACAAAAAATGGCTCTTGTGATGTGATGAAGTGCATTTCGACTGCGCAGGCTCGCACAAAGTGTGGGCCGCAGTCTTGGGATCTGTCCTCCCCCTCAACATCATCATCTTCCTCGCCCTTGACATCATCATCCTCAACATGATCATTCTCCACCTCATCTTCCGAAACATCATCATCATCATCATCATCATCATCACCATCATCATCCACCTTTTCTTCCGCAACTTTATCATCCTTTTCATCATCTTCCTCAACTTCATCATCCTCCACTTCATCTTCCACATTGTCATCCTCATCCTCATCCTCCTCAACATCATCATCCTCCACATCATCATCCTCCACCTCATACTCCTGCACCTCATCATCGTCAACAGAATCATCCTCAACATCATTGTCCGCAACATTGTCCTCCTCCTCCTCCTCCTCCTCGTCCTCCTCCTCCTCATCACCATCATCATATCATCCACATTATCATACATTATCCCTCCACTCCCCCACACTGTTTGGGGTCTCTTGCTGGGAAAAAAAATGTATGTAATGTTACGGCCAGGAGAGGGGTGCTGGTCGGGGAAGTGTGTTTTGACTGCGCAGGGCCATTGTTTGGGATGTCGGGTTGCCCAAATGGCTGACGAGATTTGTTTCCAATACACAAAACCCTGAACCATAAACCCTAAATCTAAAACCCTAAAACCTGAAACCCGAAGTAAGCCTTGAAAGTACAATCTTATTAAAACCGTGATGAAAACCTTAAAACTCTCAATGAAACCCTAAACAAACCCTAAGCAAACCCCAAACAAACCCTAAACAAACCCTAAAGAGTTGGTCACATGATAAACCTCTGGGCGGCACCCCCGGCCCGGGGGTAATATTATAGATCATTGCATACACAATGTCACAATGCATTAAATACGTGGCATGTATTGATGTGAAGGTATTGTACTTACAACGATGTTTTGATATGTTTCGATGACAGGATTGGCTGTGGGCGCTGCCAGCGGCGCCACTGCTGGTGCATTGGCAGGTGGCGCAACAGGCCGGGAGAGAGAGAGTTTTAACCGTACATGTCGAGTCGCGACCTCTTTTACCCTTTGCTAATCAAACATGGTTGGCTGGGAAATCCCCGAACCAAGTGGAGATTTTCAATAGCGGTGAAAGGTTGATCCACATCACTGAATCACAGTTTCAAAATATGACACCTGCGATGCACTCAGCTGCCCAGAGGCTATCAAGCGTACAATCATCGTCACGAGATCCGAGCATCTGCGAACAAGACCTTGGAACAGGCACGGCCAAGTGGAGGTGTACACCAAGGATCTTCAAACCTTGAGCCATGAGCAACTGTAGAAACAACACCAAACTTTTGGGATATCCGCCACTCACATCCAAAATTTCAGGTCACGACCAGCGCAGACTTTGTAAAAGCGAGGCCAGCAAGACTGTTGTGCCACTGGGGCCCACTGGCAATCAAAGCTATGCAATTGCATGTGATAGGATCTGATAGGATAGGGTTCTGCCTGGAATGAAGGTCTCACAGTGGTAAGGATAGAAACCTCTCTCTCATTCCCGACATGTAGACCATGGCTCAGATCAGACACAAAGAGCTGTGGAAAAAGAGTTGCCATGTGGTAAGAACATGTAGTTTACGTCCCTGCGTCTTAGATCAGGTGGTGTTCCAGCACATCCCAAGCTTCACAATTCACCACATCCATGAGTTGGGTGTGACACACATGTCCTTACACAATTTCCAAGGTTTCATACTAAAGATGAACTCCAAACTTCGGGTTCCCTTGGTACCAAAGTCATGTCCCCTGATCAGCAGTTCTCCCGCTGGGTCGTGCAGGGCCAACGCTGCGACATCCTTCCTATCAGAACGTGCCACTGTGGCCAGGGCCCGTCTCATGGGAGGTGCGCGATTGCATTGATTGCATTACCACCCCCCGTATGTGCCGAAGCAAAAGAAACACGCTACATTATCTTGTGAACAAAAGAATAGACACAAAATGACAAAAATAGTGTTTTTTTCTTTTTTGTGGTTATTTGTTTTGTCGACATCGTGGTGTCTAGGTGATGATATATAGGATATATGATATGTTCTGAGGATAAAGACATTGCGGTTTCACGGAGACGAACCATGTTTGATAAAGTCAAAAACGTGACAACTCGATTATGTACTGCGTTTTTTTTTTTTAAACAGTGTATTTGCTCTTTGACATGGAATCGAGCATCATATGGAATCGAGCGTGGCCTGGCCAACATGTTTTGAGTATGTCAAGTGAAATACGCGGGGTGATAATAATACAATCGCGTAATCGCGTACCTATGCATACACAGACCGACTGTAGTCAGTTCTCATGAAAGGCAGACATGATTTTGTACTCAATAAACAGGTAGGTAGATAGATATACAGTTAGATCATAGACAGACAGACAGACAGACA